TATCTCCGTTCTCTGGTTTAAGGAAGGAAGGAAGGACGGACAGACGGACGTCAGTTGAAATCTATAGGTCTAATTTGTAAATTGTATCCCAATAAACATAAAAATTTTAAAACATTAAATATAAATATGGCGGATTTATGCATAAGTTAAATAGCTGAAAGCTTAGTAAGAGGCTCTAAACTATAACGTATTTAGCTACTTTATAGGACCTATTCTAAGAAAAAGAGCATAAGTTATAGATTTGGATCATAAAAAATTTTAATTTTGATCCTAAATAATAATAATATACAATTGTAATTATCATACTTCTAGGTTTTCGATAGTTAACAGTTATCGTTTATATGAGAAAACCATTAGAAAATATTATAAATATAAACAATTATATCTAAATTATACAAAACGAAATAAAAAATAAATTTCTCTAAAGTACATAATTATGAAAAATTGCAGGGGAAGAGAGAAAAGAGAATTTCTCTATTCTAGTAGGAAAATCGATAGTAGTCATCTTCTGTAGATTTTCTGTGACCGACTGAGAACCGTCCATTATTTAGTAAGAGAATAGAGTAGACAGATGGCAAAAGTGGTCATCAATTTGTCTATCTTTTTCCAATCACTCACGATTTTTCTCGAATCGTCTTACGAGATTCAACAAATACACGGTATTTTATTGATTTGCCATTTAAAAAAAAACGAAATCGTAAGCCTCTATCTTTAGAAGAAGGTGAGATAAAGGCAATCAGTTTCTAGTTTTTCTTCATTTAAATAATGCTTCCATTATTAATGTAATACGTTTTTAATATTATTAAGAGTAGGTTTTTATCTCTAACACAATTTTTAAAAAATAATTTTCATATTTTAAAGGGAAAATACTTGTTTCTAAAGCAATTATTCTCGACAATAATGATTTGTAAGGGACTTCTCGTAGATATGCCACAAAATGAAATAATAATAATAATTTTTTTAAATGCTTCTTGTTTCTTTACTTTCATCCACAAAATGAATTGGTGTATTCAAGCAGTGCAAACAGTGTACAATTGTACTCAAACAGCAAAATAGATTGTACAATTGTTATAAAATGTGGGAACATTGGAACGAAATGTGCTACAAAGATACTAATTTCAACTAAGATAAATATGATTAATGTATCTGTTTAATGGCTTTCAGCACAACTAATAATTTTACATAATATTTACTTAATTATAATATTAAATAATTTGAAAAGCTGTCTGTCTGTCAGTTTGTCTTGCTTAATCTGGAGAAAAGTCTGATGAAAGTCGAGACCAGTCATGGCAAACTTAGGGGAACAAGGCCCTGATTTACTATAATTTCATAATTTACATAATTTCAATTCAGAAATTTTCTCTTGAATGGAGTTAGATACGTGATCGGCATGATTCCTTAATATCAAGAATGGAGTTACATATATAAAATTCGAAACCAAATATGGAAACGGTAGAGGCAGGAGGCCCTGATTAAGAATACAAGAACTTCCGGTTTTTACCGAATGTCACGTTATTTTAATTCAAAAATTTTCCCCTGAAAGGTGTTAGATAGATAACTGGCACGAGTCTGTTGTTATCGGGAAAAGTATGATGTACAGGGGCAAGACACTACTAATTTGAAATGGAGAACATATATTTTAAATTAAATAGATTAAAAATATGATTAAAAATTGCAGCCAGGCATTGTGACGATGTCACAATAAATAATTGCTGGTTCTACATCGTTTTCTACAGAAATTCAATTTGAGAAAGTTGTTTTTCATCAATCTGTGCTTAGAAACACATCGATCATTGGAAATCGATTATTACGAAGAACAAAGAGACGCACTTCCACTATCAATTTAACATTAACGTCCATTTAGTTTACCTTGATAGGGTGTTTTCGTCTGATTTTCTATATCTTTATCTCCTGCAACAGAATAAATTTATTTTTCAAATGAAATAATCTGCATTTTTTATAAAAAGTAAAAGAAAAAAAAATGTTATAAATTTTTAAAGATGTGAGGGTGCATTATTATATTTTGTAACAGTCAATTCTACTTTATGGCTCTCTTTTTAGTAAGTTAATTTAAATTTGCGTGACATTATAAAGTTTCTATTACAGGAGTGACTGTATAAATTATTACGTAACTTGTATTATGTAGTCATATTATGTAGTAAACACAAACACAGCGTATAGATTACAAGATGAGGAAATTTTCGGGGTATCTTTTCTTTATTAGCTTATTCTTTAACAGTGAAAGAGCTATTGCTAATTTTCTAATTTTTAAACTGGAATACAGTTTCAGTAAGAATTTTTATTATTTTTCTTTAATTTTTTTCACACATTTAAATGGATTATTTTAGTGGAATAAAGCAATACGGGAAGTCTACAGAAGAAAGGTGCCACTCCGAAAAGACTGAATGGTAAACTGATTTAGGTGTTATACACGTGGAGAAAGCCGGAAAATTCCGCGTGGCCAGCTCGTTGGTGAAGTCCGAACCAGCCACCAACCTGTAATGTTCAGTGGTGCAGTGATCTTCGCTTCATGGGAACTAGGCAAATTTGAATTAGAGGGTCCCATGTTTACAGTTTTTCTTCGATGGAATTTTTGGAAGAATATTTTATTTACAATAGATTGGTTTGTGGCCCCCTGTTAGTGGAGGCCCTAGGCAATTGTCCTTTTTGCCCATAGGATAACGCGCCTCTGCAGTGGTGATATTATCCACTCGGCCACTGATGGGTCAATACATTTAAATGTGCAGTTATTATAACTATTCAATACGAATTTTCAATCAAAATTGGACATAAATTTAAAATATTTAAGATATGAAATTTATTATTTTTATAGCATTTTATGCTTTTATATAAATTATACGGGGAGAAAATGTATTTGTTATATATAAAGTAAAGAGAAAAAAATAGTTTTAGTTTGAAAAGTCAGATGCTTTTATCTTTATTGTATACTTATTCTACTTCTAAAAAATATTCCACTCAAAAGAATTGTTTTAGATTCGAAAATTCAGAAAATATTTTATAAATGAAAACCGTAAAACACAGTCTAAAAAATATAGTTACATTATTACATTTAAATATAATTTATAAGTATATTTAAATATTTTATTATTAACTTTAGTAAGGGTTTTTTAATACATTTTATATATTTAAACATGAAAAAAACATAGAACAACATACAATATAGGTATCTTGAAGTGGTCCCTACTGAAAGCTGTAGGATCCTCCAATGTTCGAATGGATTACACCACTGAACAGATAGTTAGTCGCAGGTTCGCACCTGACCAACATGCTGGTCACGTGGCGTTTATCATCATGTGTCTAACCCTTAAATAGGGGTGAGTTTACCATAGAAAATCCTCCTAGAGCGTTATCTCATTCCATTAATGCTAGAACCATTTTTACCTTATCTCATGAATTCTAGAACGTTTTCTATATGTTTAAATATATAATATAAATAAACCAGACCTTAATAATTATTTTTATATTCGAAAACGTCATTGTTTTTTTATCTTTTCGGTTATTTAATACATTTTTATTGTGATTACATTAAATGAAAAATAAATTGAGTATCACATCATGATTTCTAGAAACTGCAATTTGAAAGGCCATTTTTTTACAGGAAAGTAGAGAAAGTTAAGGAATAATATTTAATATTTTCCCATCTATATACTAATATTTTTACCTGTAATACGTGTAAAAGTTGTTAAATTTGAAGACATTCTAGAAGTTTTAGATCATTATAACTTTCTAGAAGTGTTAATAGTATCAGTTTATTTGGAAAAATTCTGTAAAAAAGTATATTAGAAGGCCATTATCGATAAATTTTCACTTTTTCTTCGTGCCCAACCATTAAGAACTACAGAATTTTAAAAAAGAATTGCTGATATTCGTAGAAAATATAACTCTTTCGCTATAGATTTACACGTAAAAAATTATTTTAAAATTTTAAACACAATCGATTTCTCATTTTCTTGCAAAATCGATGAATATGTACTTTTTATTTTTTACGCAATAATTTAAACTGTAATTTGATATTTTTAAATCCTTTAATAGGATATTAATTAAGTTTAATTTTATGTACAAAAAAGATTTTCAATGTTAATCTTAATATAAAATTCAGTGAAGTGTATTAATGTAATACTGTTACGAATTTGAGAATTTGTACCGTGTCTAAAACTGATTATTATTGAAAAAAGGATATTTTTATAAGTCTCCAGTGGAATTTGCTGTCTTTTGAAGCTTCGGTACGGCCTGATAAAGTATAAAATGGAGTAGATAAATAGGTTTTTGCATGGTTTTCTTCATTTTTTAAAATAAATTTACTAAGAAATAACTTAGGAATTTCATAAATTGTCATCAAACGTGTCAGGGTCACTTATCCCCCTCCTCAGTAAGGATTTTACATTGTCATGAACAATTTTGACAATAAACAATCAAAAAACCTTTCTGATATCAATGAGTCACTTTCCATCTACATTTACATCCAATTTTAAAAATTTGAGCCTCATCTCTCCCATTAGTGGGCCTGTCCGAGCCCACGACGGGTATAGAAAAAAAAAATGCCTACAGAGCGGAGAGCGGATGGAGTTAAAATTTAATTAAATTAATGAAGGAAAATTATAAATTTTGGTTCTTTTAACTTTTATAATAAAAATATTATAAGATGAATACATTTTCAAAGAACCATTTACTGTAAAAAATGTTTGTAAATGCAATTTCGTGAAACATTTATCTGTAACAATAAAATGTTTTCTGTAGATATTTCTATGAAGTATTTCGTTTATATGATTTTAACGAATATAATTTATAATTTATTATTTAAATTACTCGATTAAAGAGAGCAACTCCGAATATTCGAATTTATTCGTTCACTGTTTCGTCGCTAAATGCTTTAATTACAACGCTACTAATCATTAATTTTTTTATCGATTAACAATATTTTAATTAATAAAATTCATAAGCAGTTTAATAATAAATTACAATATAATTTTCTCGTACAGTTTAGGTACACCGGTGCGAGTATTAATCCAGCCAGATCGTTAGGACCAGCTGTCGTTACTAATTCCTGGAGACATCACTGGGTAATTTAACTTACAATTCTTTTTACGTTAAAAAAATTGAGGTGAAATTAAAAACTTTTGGTAGGAAAGTCATTAACGATTATCTCGAACCTTTATATTTGCAGGTGTATTGGGTAGGTCCTGTTTTAGGGGGTGTATTAGGAGCCATCACCTATGATTACACGCAAGACACCTCACGAACCAGTCAGCACTTCAAGAGGTCCTTCCGTAAAAGGTCTACTAGAGATATAATTCGGGATCAAAGCGCACTTAGCAATGAAACCGAAATGACAGGTACTTCCAACGACTTCCGAATTTGATCCGAATTATAATGCCATTCGATCGAGTTGAATTATATTTTCCAGAGATTCGACTAGAATACAAATGTTTCCAATTTCCTAAGTAACTTCTATACTCTCCGGGTGAAAGAACGTTAATCTGATCAAATTTACGAGATAAATTATATATAAAAGTTTATAAAATTGTTAAATTTAATTAAATATTCTTTAATTTTAAATTATTATTTTCATAAATATCGTGAATCTTGAGTGTGGAAATTGGAAATGTGAGTCTAGACGATTCTTCAATTGCAAGAATTATTATGTATTCTCGCACATATCAATGTTAATTCTTGATAATTTAATCGTGTAAAATAAGTAAATACAAATCGAACCTCCTATAACGGCCATTTTCTAAGCAGCTATCGTTTTTTCGAACATACAAAATTACCTGTGAAGAACGTCAGTAATCGTCGTTTACAGGTTTGACTGTACAGTACATACAAATTAAAATAGAACTCTAATTATAAAAGTTTATTTATTTTAAACTTTCTTATTCAAATTTTCATTTTAAGATGCCACCAGTCTTTAATATTTCACTAATTATTAGTTTTTTTATGAAATAATTTAATAAGGTAGAATTAATCACTACTTTTGCTATTAAGTTGCAAACAAAAATCATTACTTCTGCCACCAATTTGAAGATATTAAGTACCATTTAATTTAATATTATGCAAATAAATAATTATTTTAACTTATATATTATAATGCTTTCCCCTCTTTACATTGAACTTTAAGCCACGCACTTTCCAAATTTTATATGTTTTTACCTATTTTAATCAGTTCTTTACGCGCCTTCTATTCTAGGACGTGTATTTTCTTCCTCTTGGAATTCTTTCATGCATATTTATGGAATGACAATCTACAGATTCTACTACTTATTGAATTTTTAATGATTTTTTCCTTCATATCAAATAGTCGAAATACTTTAATATCACCGAACATTTTTCTTTCCATTATTAAACTCTGTTCTGTTCGGCTGATAAATTATTCAGAAAATAATTTTTAATATACTTTTAAATAATTAAAAACACGCTTTTATCGGTCAGATTTTTCAAGATTGGGCAGAAGATGGGAAAGGATCACCCCCTAAAACATTATTAAAATGCATTGTCATGGGACTTAGATATGACTTCAAACTTTCACACTTCTTTCTTAATCATAAGCAGATAAAATTTAAGTTTCAAGATATGAGGAAGTGTTTAATAATAATATAAAAATACATTATAATTTTCTTTATAGACCTCTAAACTATTTAATTATTAAATTTTCTTCTAGCAATTTATAAATAATTTATATCATAATAAACCTTCCATCTTATGATTTGTTGTTGAAAGAAGAATTTTCAAATTTTTTCTGCATGAAAAATGTAAAAAAAATTAAAGAAGGAAAGTTTATTACATTGCTGCATTATTCTATACAAATTATATTACATATTATATACGTTATATGTATTAACAGGCTGAATTAAAGTACACACGAGCTATATTACAGATTACGAATCTTAATCAACAATGCCAATCCATTGGGTAAATATTTTATATATTAAAAATTGATAAAACTACAAGGTTAAGAAGTGTAAAGGATATATATAATAATTTTGAGATGTTCTATCTTCCATGTGGCTTAAATTATACGAAACTTTCCTATTAAACATGAGCAATCCTACGCTGTACGCTATGAGTAATGAATACATTTTACTTGTAATTTGTTCCTTTTAACTAGAAAAAATGTATTTATAAATGAACAAAGAAGACATATACCTTTTAATTAGGGTCTTCAAGTGCTTATATGGGGTCTGGGACATAAGGGATAGAGGAAAGGTCCTTTATCTGGTCATGAAATACATAGAATGTTTATTTACTATAAAGATTATTTTGTTAGTAAAAGTAGAATTAAATTTGTAGGAGTAGGAACCGTTAAGGACTTCTAGTCTTTCTGCGTGCTCGGAGGAAAATCCTCTGCTCTCCTTCTAGACGACCCTAATTATCATCAGCTCTTGTATTCATAGTAACTTCATGCCCTCTCGTAGGTATACGATTACTATTATTGACAGTTTTCCATATATAAATCATATATAACTAATAATTCAGTATAATTCAGGCAATCATTGAGAATTTTTAATAAATTTTACAGTAAGTTTACATGAAAATCTATTTACAAATTTCCGCGTAATGATTTTCTTTCCGGTTCTGTAATAATAAATATATTACATATGAATAAATGTAAGCAATTTATAGAAATTTTATAAAAAAATGAAAAAAATTTTTCTATATTTATAATTTATTTAATGCTTTTTTTAATTATTAAAAAATTGCATTATTTAAATATTTTGACGATCCGTAAAATGCCCGAACGATCAAATTTAAGCAAAAATAATTCGAATTAAATAAATAATTAAATATATAAGATTAAAAGTATATTAGATACACTAATGAGGCATTCATTTTTTTAAAAAATAATTGAAAATGTTGCCATTTAGATCTTATACAAAGTGTAGAGCATTGCATAGCGTAACAGTGTCTGCAGTATGTTACGGGGCTCCTAACACCTGTCGTAACAACCTTACTCTCCAGTTTTGTTACGTGCTTGTTACGGCTCGAGATTAGATAAAGGGGACCGTAACCGAAAGCTCGAGGGTGCTGTTACGCTACGTAAAAATGCACTACAGTTTGCCCATGCTTTAAAGAATGTTGATACGTTGTACGATTGACTGTCTGATCGAAGAGCAAGAAACTATACACTATACATAAGACTATACATAAGACATAAGACATCATTTTAACTCTTTCAATCATAAAGTATTAACGATATCACGAAGGAAAATATATGTACAGTATATTGTCATGTTTTATTATTGTTATAATCTTACATTCAATTATCAAGTCCTTGTCAATGAATTTTATTTTTCGAATTTGTGTTAATTCTGTAGACAAGAATACAAGAATAATTCCACTTAATTAAATATTAATTATCTTTTGTTTAACTGTAGTATAGATATAATTGTCAATACTCTTGAGAAATTCATTGTAAGAGTAGTAATAACGCTTATAGCGTTACAATTTATGAAAAAAATCAAGTTTTTTTCTGTAAAAAGATGTTTCTAGGCGCTTCCTCCATAATATAATCAATATAAATCTGTATCACATATCACTGTAAATAAAACCTGCAAATTTATCTGTATTTTCTGATTCTTTATATAATTTGCTTTATAAAATGTAAGAGATGCCGATGTAAAGGAATAAAATAAAAAAATATTTTAAAATTATTATTATTATTAATTTTTGTCTTTTCCTTTATAAAATCTTATCAGAGATTCAGAAGAGTGCAAACAATTGAATGACGAAGCGAAGTATTGACTAGAAACAATAAACAAAATCGAATCGAAGAGGAAACACAATTCAATTCGAATCTAGAGAAAAAAATCGATATGTAGCGGTTATCGAATATGATTTTTTTCTTATATAGAAGTTTTCTACACGGAATTTTTGCCATTTCTACTAAATTTCTTCCCATATTTTTCGAAGAAATACAGTTTAATCGATGCTCGATTCACTTCTATACAATAATACTGTGTAGTTACTTTTATACAACAAGCAGTTCTATTCTAAACTGTCGAGAAAAAACTATTATAGAAGCGAAATTTTGCACACTAATTAATGTTTCGCCTTATTTTAAAACTTATTATCGAGCCGGGCTGTAATTTTTAATCACTTCTTAATTTATTTAATATAAAATATATGCTCTTCATCTCAAATTAGTAATGACTTCCCCCTGTACATCATATTTTTCCTGATAATAACATATAGTCATGCCGGTCGTCTCCGTTCGGGGAAAGTTCGTGTATAGTTTTCGATATTAAGGAAGAATAGACATACAGACGGACGTATATGATGTCTACAATAATTTTTAAATTGCATCCCAATAAGGGGGATGACCTTTATTAAACACCAAATTTATAAATCAACCGAGAAAAATGTGTTGAATCTGCATACCAGAGTGTTAGATTAATCAATTATTTTAGAACGTATTAAGTTACAATTAAAATATATCATTGTTAACCTAGAAAGGTAAACATTAAATGAAGCGAAGAAATTAATTATTGGATCAATTCCATTATTTTTATTACTTTCTTCCGGCTGATACTTTCTGGGTCGAGTTCTACTCCATACGACTTTACGACTAGTCGAATTGACTCCATCCTCTAACAGTAAAAAAAAAATAATGTCAGATCGTATTCAAGAGATGGTTTTTTTTCTTTTTTTCTCCTGTTCGAGTGCTGGAAGCGGAAAGAAGGTCATAAGAATCGAGAAGACAGCATTAATATTCAAGACTATCCCCGAGACACAAGTGCAGCTACTACTAAAAATGGCGCCTACTTTACCGAAAAAGGCCATAAATAACCGAAATTAACACAGAATTACACTCGAATATATGTATTTTAATATATAAAATTCTTATTTTCCCCCTCCGATGACGAGAATATTTTATTTATGTTGGAAAACTGAGAAAAATACAGGCTTATAAGATCTTTGGCATCTTCTCTGGTATCCTAGCGACAGACTCATCCATAAAGGATGACAGACTTGGATAAAATTTCTTAAATATTACGTGAGTCGACTTGAAAACTAGAATAATTTCTTTGAGGAACTATAATTAATGTTTATCATTTATAAAGTCGTATTTTTAATACCAATATTCGTGTAATTTTACACAGATAAGTCTGTATGCCGCGTGATTTATGAGTGAAATTAACTATCGATGAACAGGATTATATAAATTAAATTAAATGATTAATGATTTTTAATCAAATTTAGGTTAAATAGGTTACTGGCAACGCCCAGTAGCGCTATTGATGAAAAGGATATGTAGGCTAAGAATAGTGCATGGAGCAATAAAATGCCTGAAGTGTAGAAACACGTTCTAAATAATTTATTCGAGTTCATAACATGAAAGATATATCACTGGATGACATTATTTCTCAGCGTTTCAGCATCAGAGCATAAAGTAGCATCCTAAGATATATAGAGTGCGATTGCAAATACTCGTATTTCCCGGATAAAGGCAGCATCTTTTAAAAAAACAAAATGTAATTTATAATGCAAAACAGCATGACTCAAAGAATAAAACGAGAAAAATAGAATTGGGAGTAACTTTCCTAGAGTAAATTTTATTATAGACTTTCCATTGATATTATTCAATTTATCACAAATTTTATGCACTTAAACTCCAATTAATTATGTTAAATTAATTATAATAAAGTTTTCTTTAATAAGTTAATAACCATTATTAAGTTATAATATAAAATTTATTTTTTTTTCTCTCTCTTCTATTTTTTTATTTTTATTGTATTTTTTTTTTTACTGTAGTCCAAGCCGATAATTCACTTGTAAGGACTTAAGTGCTACTTTTTTTTTCTTCCTAACAAAGATGCTATTGAAAGCTGTTCAAGTAACAAAACATAATAGACTAGAAATCAATTCCAAGATGTTTAATGGTAAATGCACTCGAAATTAACTCTAGAAATACGTTAAACGTGAAACAAGTNAAAACCGTAGACTTCTCTACATGTATTTTTAATATCACAATTACATTTCGAATCGCTAGCCACGATATAAGGGCTACAATTAAATATAAAATAATAAAAATTTATTTATTTATGAACATTTCTATGATTTTGTGGGTTTGTGTGCCTGTATGTCTGTGTGTTAGCACATATTTCGTTTAATATCTCGGGATGGGGTAAGGATTAAGAAAAGAAATTTGCATGGTAGCTTGTATATAAGTGGCATTGATGTTATTAAATTTTGGTGGTTAAAGGTAGATGGGGTCACGTGCCATATCTTCAGTAAGGTTGTACTTAATGAAGATTTTGCTCGTACAATATTTTTAAAAACTCATCTCTACCCTGAAAATTAAACCATTTTTGCCTTTTTATATTAATTAATAATATAAAAGTTATTTTTAATGCCATCTCGTAACGGATGGCGACATACACTATTGTAACGTGACCTAGTGTCATAGTGTTTTCTAAACTCAACTTTTTATCATAATTCGACAAAATTACTCCTTTAAAGCTTTCTTTATTACTTAAACTTTATATCATAGTATAATTTAAAAATGTAGGACTTCCTAATGGTCTCCTTAACCTTCTGTTCGAGTGAGAAAAGTCTTTTCAACTGTTTTTTGTTTATTACTTCCTGTTTTAGATCATTATTTATAATTTTTGGAAGCTATTATAAGGTAAAAAGGTAGATTTTAATGTGAAGTAGCTTCAGAATTGTAGAATTTCAGAAGAGATCCTTATTCATTATCCTTGAAAATATTACTGATACTATTTTATCTTTGATTTAAAATTGATGATGTAAGGATTCCAATTCTTTTAAAATTAATTACTCTTTCCGTTTTTTATCGATTAATTAAATAATTTTTTTAAACCTATCGTAGCCATCTGATCAACTTTGTTCAGTGAAACATGTCGTGCAGTAAAAACCACAGATTCTGTTCGTGAGATCGATAATTTTCTATAGAGTGGCCATACTGTGATTTCTAAATCATCAATATAAATTAAGTAGGTAGAATTCTAGCGTATGGTCTTCACTTTGTATTATAATATTTGTTGTTACATCAATGTTTTCGTGTGGAAAATTGGTATAACATATTAAATTTTCATTATCTTTAAATGCAAGGAGTAATAATTATTCAATATTCAAATTTCTCTACAAAGTGTAGCATGCATCTTTTATTATCAAGTCAAGCAACTTTATTTTTCAATCCACGAATCACAGTTTCATTTACAGTCAAACCGGTAAACAACGGCCACTAATAGGTATATCAAAGTGGCATTGTTTGGGGGTAGCTGTTGTTTGATGGTTATTTAGATGATGCTGTTTTATGTATTGACATTTACCGGCATGTCTTTATTGCTAGCAGGAAAGGTATGACATACAGAGACAAGATACTACTAAACTTAAGTGCATTATGATGATATTACAGTAAATAATTGCGTCTTTTTATTAGATATACGTACAGTGCAATCGTAAAGTCCCTCTGCAGTGGACGGAGAAAACGGAAGGAGCTTCAAGAAATGACGACACAGGCAGACCAAAGAAATAAAATAAGTTATGACGGCACCGCACGACCAAGCAACATAAGCGTGGTCCACTACGGAGGGTCTTTATGATTGCGCTGTATATTACTCTCCCTCCTGTGGGTAATAAGAAGGCTGTTTTTTAGGCCCATTATTAGTATGACTAATCTCATAATGGGGCAGCCGAGTGATGAGACATAGGTCTTGACATATCCGTGAAGCGAATTTACACTTTCAACATACTTTAGGTCAATAGAAGGGCTTTCAACCGATAGGAGTCAGAACTCTGACGTCGCCTTGTTATTGGTTGAAAACCTCCACTGACTGAAAACGCATTAAAAGTGTAAACTCGCATCAGAGAAGACCATCCCGAACGTTTTTGGAAGATTTTTGAGAGCCCGAGTTCGAACCCGGATCCTTCAGAGCGGTAGGCTGAAGTTTAATTGCCTCCATGGATTTTTTTAAATATGAAAAATTAATATTTTCGTAAAACTTCTGAAAGAAAAGAAACGCTTTTTATATCTGTAGGAGATTTTTCCCACTATGTTAAATGGTAGAGTCACGAAAGATGGATCCATTTAAAATGATCGTAAAATCCATCAATTTCATGCTACATAAAAGTTTATTACTTATTCATTATCCATAAAAAAATTGATAATTGATATTGATGAGAATGATATTAAATAGTAATAAAAAAATATTTTTGGAAATCAATTTAATTCAGTTTTTTCTGTTAAATGATAAATTAATGCTCCCTTTATGTGAATTTTAACATTTAAAAGTTATTGAGATTTTATAGGTCTTCAATTGGGTCCGTCTGTTTGTCTGTCCTTCGAGGGCCTTTTTCTGGCCCATCGTGGATTCGCTAGGCCCACAATCAGGCAACTAGTGGTGGTCAGGCCCAACATATTCGGGACAAACCATCCCCGAAAAATTCTACAGATTCGATTTGTGGTAGAGTGACACCTCAACTAACCGCCTTATATCTTAAATAATAAAATATGTAAAATGTTTATGTCTAGATTCAATTTAATTCTTTATGCAACTGTAGATTTAAGTTCTATAACTGTTCTATGTTATAAAAATATAGTTTTAAATACAAATAAAGTTATATAAA